CGGACAGACATCCATGGCTTGAGTGGGATTCGAACCCACGGTCCCAGTGACCAAGCGACACAAGGCCCACGCCTCAGACCGCGTGGCCACTACGGACCTCCGCTAGTAATATGCCACCTAAAACCATCCAAACTAAACTAAACTAAAAACTGCTGGATAAAATATAGCGAGGGTTAAACGTGTAGTTTGAGTCGTTTCTTATATATGTGGATGGCCGGACAAAAGAACATGGAACAAATATATAGTTTTTGAATTTTGTTTTTGAAACGCACACGAAAACAATATTTTTAATTTACAGGCTATAAAACAACAAATTACCACTGAAATAAAATTTACTATAGTATTTATATGTGTATACACAGATTGTGTACAGTGTTTGCAGAGTTTCTTCCAGTTTTAATTAATTTTAACGCTCTATGTTTGAACGAAATCTGTAGAATATTGTAGAAGCATTGAAACTGTAAATGCACGCAAGCACGTCTATGAAGTGTGCGATCACCGGAACTAAACTGCGCGTTTCGCCTACGTCGCTAGCTTGCACGCATAAGAGAAACAAATGCATGTACTATGTAAGCTAAAAGACTCAATAAAACCTTCTCGGGCGATGTCATCAGAACCCTGATGATGAGGACAGAGATGGTCTTCTTTTAACCAGTTGGCGCGGTCGACAGACCGAGAAGATTTTATTGAGTTACGTCGCCGCGAAAGCCTCAAATCAAAAAGCTAAAAGATGTTAAATACGTAGGAATTGAGGCAGCGAATTCCAAAATACTGCCCCTGGGAAATAATGTTTGTAGTTTGGACAGTACATGGTTCCATTACCTGCTCCCACTCCCACCTCGTTTGTGACGCACCTATGTGATCAACAGGTAACATAGTTAGGGGGCCAATCAGATAGGTCTTCTGCACTCTTACTCCCATTTTACCAGAATATAGAAAAAGAATCTAGCTCCTGAAAATCTGCAGCTTCGTGATTTTATATTTTGACGATGGACAAAGTTCAAAACAATAATTATAACTCACCATAGTCAGAAACCTCCAGACTTGTTATTGACACATAAAGTGTTGAGTTCTGTATGCGAATAATGTTATGGAGCCGGAAGACGAATGAGGACACTGGAGTTGTTATCTATAATAGAGTTCAGAACTTGCCTAATTGATTATTAAATCCTTGTATGGCATATTTCCATCTAGTTAGTGTGTGCACAGTCTTTTTTTATTACGATTAATAATGCATTTTATGAAGGCAATTTATTATATTCATAGAAGTTCTTATTCCACACTGCAGAACCTCTGCAGTCGATATAGCCTTGTTGAGTAATTAGCGTAGAATCGTAGAAACGATCTAGGTAATAGTGTTACACACATTCTTTGACCATTGTGAGACATGAATTGTGAAGAACAGAATGAGTAGGAAATGTAGCTTCTTTTAAAGCACTACGTATTTCGCCAGTCTGCTTATTGATTTGTTTAACGATGCTTTATATTACCAGTGTGTAAACTGCAGCAGCGTTAAATTGTTGGTTGGCAATGAATGATGAACAAAGAAGGAATTTAAATAAATAGGCCGTGGTCTATATAAGAAACTATCCAAAAAGACTGCATTAAGTACTTACTTTTTTATTAAAGTGGTTTTAATAAACTGAATACGCAGGTGCATGGCTGGCAACTTAATAGCACCATAAATCGTGTGGATAATTACAGAAAATTACATAAAACGCGACAATGACAAGAATTGTATTCACCAGTCTTCGTCTCCGCTTAGATATTTACTCTGTGGCATTCCATATTTTTTGAACGTGATAAATGTGCTTGATCATTCGAAGCCGAAGCTCGTCTAAATACTTAAAAATTCAGTCCGTACCGCAAAGAAAACACTTCATTATCACGAAGATCAAATTGGTGAAGGCTGTTTAAGGAAATAATCTGTGTTTACACCGAGAATCATACAAAATCAATTAATACAAAAAGCAGAGTTACTGATTTTTATGCAGCTGGTGTGTACAGGTACCGCACGCGATAAAGTTGAAGTGTTAATGAACCTAGGGGGACGGGAAGTAAATGATAAAGCGGTGACACGAGTGTGGAGGGCAAAGCGCTTTCCGGTGCACAAGTCCGGAAAGTTGCTACAAACTTTATATTCGCCAAAGAGACCGACTCAGCAGGACCACAAGCACGAAACACGTGTCGGACTAACGACAAGATGGCCGGAACTCAAAAGGCAAAGAAAGTCCGGTACTAAGGCTTTGCAACCTAGCAGAAGTCCTCGAAACAAACAAACAGCATAAACGCGCACGAAGCAACAACTTCAGACTGATCAACAGTCACAGGTCACTCGCAAATCCCCTTTGAGGCACCACACGCTACCTCACCGAACACGTTGAATTCGTTAGAGGCTTTCCTGACATTGTTTCGACAGTTACAGTTGGAAGAGTGTCACTAAATAAATGAAATGTTATTCTAATTCGTACTTATAAGATCCTGGGTTGAAACCTCTGCTCGGGGACAATTTTACCTGATTGAGGTTCTCTCAGTCCCTCCAGGCAAATGCTGGGTAGCACAAATATTGGCCACGGCCGCTTCCTTCAACATCATTTTCAATTCCCTATCCATTCAGTCATCGTTTTGTAATATAGTGTGATATACTGGCAGTGTCGTTAAGCTGTAAGACAAGTCGAATAGAATTGTAATCTTAACTAACGCGAAAACACCAATTCTGCTAAAGCCATCTTAAAACTTTTACTTATGCTAGACCGTATTTTCAAATTTGTGATTTCGTAAAAGAAGCTCATACACAAGAAAATCTTGGAATTTTGATCTCGAACATTTTGTTTGATACGTAAATGTTATTCAAGAACATCGCATCCCCGTCAGTAAGTTAGTTGCGTATGTGGTTATATTTATTCTCTAATTTTTTAACTTGTTTCATATTCTGCTTTATTTTAGTTCTGCTGTGTATTTATTTCTAAATAGAGCGTTTAATTCTGCAGTTTCATAATCCGTAATTAATCTTAAAACTTATATTATGAGTTTCACTTCACTAAAATATAATTATTATATAAATTTAGCATACATGTATGTATATATATATATATATATATAAACCAGTAAGAATTTATGAAACTTCTGTTGAATCTATAATGATAATTTTACAAAATTAGACTATTACAAATAGGTATAATTATAATAAAATTAAACAAGGATAAAAAATTTAAATACAGCCATAGGATTTCATAGAAAAATTACACCACACGTGTCAGTAAGGTTTATAAATAATAACATTTTTAAATTGATGAATCGTGTTTTAAGTAATTTTTAGAGGTTTTGGTATTCATTGAGCCTTAGAGTAGAGGAGTTTAGAAGTTATATATAAAAATAATTTTATGATAAGGTTGCAAAATTTACACTAAAAATACAAAGGAACCAAGGAACACGTTTGTAAAACTTTGGTAATTGACACCAAAATGGTTCAAGAAGCAACACAACTCCTTGGCACGTTGATGGCGATCACAGATTACTGACTTCATCGACGAAAGCAAAGCCTTGTGAACGTCCTGTGTTGATTGTCGAAGCACTTTGTGAACGTAAATTGTGTAACATGTTCACTGACGTTTTAAAGAGCAATCCGATCTCAGTCCAGTTAACTTCAGCCTCCTGTAAACTCGGCGTCCCTCCACGCTTGCGATCTGCTTGGTTCTCTGTCCGGACTGACTGTTTATTTAATTAGTGTAGGCATTGTCGGCTGGTTTAATTGATATGTTACTCGAATTGCTAACTTGTTACTATTTTCTTTTTGTCTCATTGGCGACTGTTGGGTAAATTTTAAGTGGACAGTTGTTTAATTCAAATCCAGCGGAGTGGTGAGTTGTTGAGCTGGCTAGTTGTATGCAACTGTTATTGCCGTAGGAAGGGAATAAGGAAAGGCACCTATCTCCACCTAACCTTTTAGAAACTTCTTACTAAAGTAATAAAAGTCAATCACAACACTGGTTAACGTAAATATATTTCAAACAATTAGTTCGACACAAGAAATTAAATACAAAAGAAGTTGAATATAAAACATGTTTGTAACTACCAATCTTTCGATTATTCAATATTTAACCAGTCACCTTCTGTACTATATTCTGCGCTAATAATGCGTGGCTTGTAAGATTGTCTAGTTCTCTACTTACATGAGTGTGCCAGTAGAAACACCCAGATTTCTTTGATACTGCAAAGTCCCGTGTTAGTCAAATGCTCGGACTAACCCGGCGGCCTCCCCTCTGGACAAGGTTCCATTAAATCACAGTCTGTGCACACTAAAGAGTGTTTAACTTCCGAAACGTCTCCGTTTAAATACGTGTTTCCACTCAGCATCACATGTCAAGTAATATTTGTTACGTGACTCTCTATTGGCTGATCACGCCCTACTTTCAAAATGAACTCTATAAAAGGAGGTGACTGATTGGTGTCGTCTTTACAACGTCATTTCCGTTATATTTCCCAAAATGGCAACACATGTCTCCAAGACACGTACGCCTTGGGTTTCCCAACTAACTGCAACTCCGGTGGGCTTATCTTACAGGATGCAATGTGTGGTTGCAGCTGACCGCAATTCTACCGGTTCTTGCTTCAAAAGATGATAACTCATACAATATGTAAGAACAAGAAAATTAACTGCAATACAGAAATATCAAATAATCAGTACTTAATATATAAATCAAAAAGAAATGTAAGCAGGTGAATGTGTATGTGTGTACATATATATATAAGTGTACAGGAGTGCTCATAACACTACATGCAGTCGATAGACTTGATTTTCTGAGGTGGAAAGTATACTAACCATCTAAGCGACTGTGGGTTTCTCAAAGGACTCTGTTTCTTGTAGACAACTGGAAATGCGTTGAATGCTAAACACTGGAAGTTGTAGGTAAAAATCTTGATAAATCACCAAGAATGATATTTACAATGTGAAATTACATTTGATTTTGCTATAATCGTTTTTGGAAATATGCTATTTTGCAAAATGAACTGACCGATTATAATTTAAAATATGGTTCTGAAGTCATTTAAAAAGACGTGTTATTTTGTCTTATACGTGTTCTTAATTTCCTTTGTTTAAGAAATACGTAAACTTATTTTATCACCCGGTTTGTTATCGGCCAATTTACAGAAAACCGAATTCAGGCCTTGAACTACGCGAAACTTGTTGCATTATTTACTGACGCTTGACGCAATCCTGGATTACTTTCAGTTTTGTATGTCCGGTGTACCGGATACCATTAACTGTCAGAGTTGTCACGGACGCCTGAGATATTAAACAGACAAGGGAAAAATGAATGTAGATTCAGTATTAATGTAGCAATTTCACGGGAATTAGAATGTCTCGCGAAAAAACTTGTAGACCTCTTTTCTTAATAAACTGGCATTTCTTTCCGAGATACATGAACAGGCCAAACGAACAGTAGAAATGAATAGCGGTCACGAAATGAGCGAAAATTAAACATCATTATTTTTATTCTATTTAAAGAAAACTTTCTCGAAAGGAACCGTCACAGCTGGTCACGAAACTGCATCGGAACAACGCTACATTTTATTTTGCCCCATGGTAATTTTGCGACTTTTTTTTAGCGACGTTTTCCTTTTCGAAACTTGGAATATTCTGAGTTTCATCAATAGTAAGTAATCAACAAATCGATAATTTATTGCGTTTTCCGTCCGTCAGTTTTTGCTGTCCGGAGCTGTAATGAACCTCTTTCTAGTGGCACCATTCTCTAATTACATGTTGTTTAGTCTTATAACAGTAAAAGTTTTCCTCTCTTCATTGTTTCCAGTTATATATAACAAATTTTATTTTAACACTCATATTTAATTGTATACGGGTATTTTAATATATTTATTAGTTACACAATATCATCATTACTTTCTTAAGAGCTACCTCTTTATTATTAATAAGCCATTTCCTACTCGAAAGTTGTTCAGTCGAATTATTTGTTTCCGAACATTTTAATAATATATGTAAATCGGGGCGTGACGCTAACCACTCACCCCCATCTAGTGCCATGATTAAGAGTAAGTAGGAGCTATAACTACTCCCCCCAAGTCCCTCCATGGCGTATAGTTGGAAAGCTTTACTTTAGTCATGTGGAAATAATGACAAGTCATTTCATATGGTTTAGAAGATTGTAGAGTTACGGACTGAATCTGATAACACTTTCATATCAGCAGCCGAAGTTACATAACGAGATCAAAGGACGGGCATTATTAAAGATAAATTATTAATAAAACTCCTATTACAGGTATAACTTAAGAAATGGCAGGTAAGTGTTTATAAGGTGGAGAAAAGTACTTTCCAAGAAGATCACTTGAAGACAAAGCAAGATTATAATATCCAAACAGCTGTGAATAAGATGACTGTCTTCAGGGATAATGCACCGTGTAGTCTGTAGAATTTTATCGACGTTTTAGAGGTGCCTCCTTCATCAGGGCAGATAACATCTCTGAAACGTCGGCAAGCTTCTACCAGAGTACGCGGCGCAATATTCCAGAAGACAGACATCTTCAGACTTGCTGCCATGAGAAACTGAAATCTATGAAGAAGCAAATGTAACTTTTGATTTTACACTCGTATTACTAATTTAGAGTAACTTTGTGTTCCCGCTATGGGCCTTTGTTTGGGGAAGTTATATAAGATGGCCTTCCTCCGCCCCAAACACGTTACTTCTCGAAACGTTTAACGTCCTGGGGCAAACCACTGATGTTAAATCTTCAGTTGAAGTGGCTTGTGGTAGAGAGTATGAAGGGTCAGAGCCAGAATTATCATTCTGAGGCCCTCGTGCAAAGAAACACGAAGACATACGACCTGCGTTAAGTGTCTCGCTTTACGACAAAGTAGGCAATTTGTAAACCCTAATTATCATGCTCCCTAGTGGTGGTAGTTGTGATAGTGAAGTAAGTACACTCTAGTCCGAAAGTTAATACAATTATGAGTTTAAATTTCATTAATCGGACCCCGTCAGACTGTGTTATCTTTTACGCTAGCAACTGCTTCTGGTATCTACAGTAAGGAGCTCATGTCGCTGTGATCAGACTTAACGTTGTTACTTGCAGTGACAATTAATGGAGCGTTTATGATGTGACAGGAATATGAAGCGAAATGTTATGCTATGCTAGTGCGTAATCATTGTGCTGTGGTAAGGTACAGAGCGAATGGAAGTAAATCAACATGTGTTCTACAATAGTATTGTGTTGGTCAGCTTTGGTCTTTAGATGGCCTTGGGGGAGGGCGAAGTGCTACGTATTGTGTAGAAGGCCAGTTGTATTCCCAATAGCTGGTGTGGACATCGCAGCGAAGGTAAATTCCGGTCCGTAGTGACTATGTGAAGATTGAGAGAAATCAGCGATATTATCACATTTGACTCCATCGCCGTGTTTGTAATTTTGACGTAAAAATGTTTCAGAAAAAGTTCGGATGCAAGTATTTTCACGATCTGTCTCTGTACTACACATAAACTTCGCCCTGTAACCGTGTTGTTGTACGATCTGCCAATATGACGTCACTGGAACTTGTATATTTTGAATTAGTCTTCGAAATACAAAATTTATTAATCCTAATTTTAGTGGTCCAGTTATCGCTTACGCTATATTAGCTTATACGGCCGATGTATCGGTCTCTAATGGAATGAAATTAAAAATTTTACCTTCTTACACGTGCGTAACCTCCAGCTGTATGTGCGCATGTTCAGATATAAACATAATAGAGCCTATACCTACTTTAAGCCTGTATTTATTCAGTAATGACGTATACTAATAAAATTAAAAACTAAAGACGGCAAAGATCAGTGTTGGTTTTGTTTATTAGCAGCGCGAATTTCCACCTACAAGACCTGGATGAATGGAACTAGATTTTCAGCATTTGAAAGATGAAAGTTGAAGGAACAAATAAAAATATTTTCTCAAATTTCTTTCGAACGTGAGTGAGAAAATATATCATAGGAAATGTTGGTACTGGTATAAGTTGTAAGTACACAGTGGAGCGCTCTGGGAATTTACATACTGAAATGGAAGGAAAGATAGGTTCACTTGAGCACATGAAAACTCTGTGCGAGGTTGGCTCTTCCCATGGATCTCAGATAAACACTCATGGTTTGTTACTACGGTGTTTCAGGAAGGATTCTTTAGTATCTACGATGGTAAAAACAGTAGGTAAGGTCGTGACCTATCACACCGTCTTACTGCTAAATTACTACTAACGTGGCGACAGCTCTGAATTGGTAATAATTGTTTAAATATTCATCAAAATACACTTTATAATTATGTACCTTTTCCATTTTTTAAAAATACAAACATGAAAATACACCCGTTAACGCTGATTATGTCCAATAACTTTGAGCATGAAAATTTGTGTTTAGTTATTCTGGAACATTGTTATTATTAAAACCACAGATTCGCATCTGACCAAGCAGGTTAACACAGTTACAATGTGTCTGATTTATTTTCATAAGGTATACAGGTTTGATTCCCGGCTGGAGATTGCTTGCTATCTTGACTGCTTTTCACTTCCAAATAAAAAGACATTTTCCTTGCGATGTATCCCCCAGTCTTCCAAAAACTTCTTGGTTGTATGTATACATGACAGAGTAACTGTATACTCCATCCTGAGGCAGAAGGGAAAAACAAATCTGTCTTCTGAGTCTGATGGATATAGTTCTGTCAACGAGGGTGGAAACCCTGACGGTCTAAAGGTACAAGGAGATTTAATAACTGACATTTCGTAGCAAATATCTTAAGCTGTCTCTCCGAAACGTTGGTAAGCATCTGCCAGAGTACATGGTGCTGTAACCTAGAAGGCAGACGTCTTCATACTCACCGCCAAGAAAACCTTAAATCCTGATCATAGAAATGTTTACAACGAAGGAAAACTTACACGTTTTAGTTTATTGTCCGGACGTCATGTCCCGGGTCATGTGGTTTTTCGCAGCTAACTTTCGACATCGACTGTAGACAGCCTAGCTCGTATTTTCGTCAAGTTAACTGTGTTTGTACCTTCACACGTCAATTATTTATGAGAAGAGCGAACTGTGCCCATACCTTTGAGTCCTCTTTTATTTATACCGCATTTATTTTGCTTCTGTAGGATTTCCCATCATACAATATTAATTTTTTGGTCTCTGCCTTCCGCTGCTTTAGGATGTTTCGGAAGCAGCCCCTGTCCCTCCTTTAACCCTCGAGAAACCTCACGTTTGAAGTACGCCGACATTGACTGCACAAAGCTTTATAAAAAATACAGGACGTTTCACAAGTAGGTACTTACCGTTACTTCGAACAAATATTTA